CACATCCTCACACACTCACTCTGATACACACACTTACACACTCACACACACTCATACACATGCACACACTAACACACTTTCATCCACACTCGCATACACTCACACACGCTCATACACACTCTCACACAGTTATGCTCACAGTCACACTCACACACAGTAACACACTCACATACGCTCACACACATTCTCTCTCTCTCTCTCTCACACACACACACACACACACACACACACACATATTCCAAGGCCCTGAGATCGGAACACCATGGCCCAGGGTTCAGTGAGCAAAGGGGACTCGGTAAAAGCTGACCGTCTAGAAATAACCAGGGGCCAAATGACATAGCCCGCGATTGAGGCTTTGGAATTAATTCCATGTAATGGAAAACCACTGGAGGGATTTCAGCAGGAAAATGACATGATTAAGTTCGTATTCCAAGGAAATAAATAGCAATAAAGAGTAATGAATACCCTCCAACACACTGCCCTCAGCGACTCTCAGCAATAGGTCATTACTAGCACAGAATCCTGCGTTTTCTTCAACCACCCCTCCTGTTAATGGATATAACCACTGTTCCGCCTTGGGTATTTCTTTATTATCTTGTTATGTATTTTGCCTCCTTAAAATTGTGTATAGATCATGTCGTACTTTGAACTTTTTAGGAATAATATTATGCTGTTTTTCTTGCGGCCCCTGTTTGTGGTTCAGTGCCGTTTGTGAGCTTTTAACCCTGTTGATGTGTCTGATTCCATTCCCTCATAGTTTGCTGTTATGAACTATACGCTATCATTACTTTATAACAATCTCTTGACAACCATCAGGCTTTCCCCACCGATATTCAGTTAGAAGAGTTATGAGGGCGGGAGAGCTGGCTCAGCTGGCAAAATGGCCGCTCAGGCTTGAAGAGTTAACTACGAGCCCAAGCACCCACGTAAAAAGCCAGGTATGGGCACACTTGGAATCCCAGCACGGGAAAGGCAGAGATGGCTGGGCCCCTGGCACTCCCTGGCTGGCCAGCACAGCCACACCATCAAGTCTCAGATCAGTGAGAAACCTTGTCTCAAAAACCAAGGTAATAGCCTGGAGAGATGGCTCGGTGGTAAGGATCACTTAGTACTCTTGCAGAGGGACCTGGGTTTGAGGTTCCCAGCTCCCATTGTCAGATCACAAAGAGCTATAATCCAAGTTACAGGAGATCCGATGCCCTCTCTCCAGGACTTCTACTCTCAAGTAGTGCACACAGGCACACACACATAAAATAAAATAGCTACAGACAGCTCTTGAGGAAGGACAGCCTAAATTGTCCGATGGCTTCCACATGCATGTGTACACACATACACACACACACACGGGGTAGAGGACTACATTGTGGGGCTGGGAAGATTGTTAAAGTGTTCAACAGAAGTGAGGTCCTAAATGTGAATTTTCATCACTCACATAAAAGCTGGGTGTAGAGGCAATGCACATCTGTGCGCACATCTGTGTGAGCATCTGTGTGTGTACACATGCCTTCACTGGAGGGAAGGAGAGGAGACAGGTGACTTCCCAGAGCTCACTGGCCAGTCAGTACAGCCCACTGGTTCCATGAGAACTTCAGTTACAATGAGAAACACCGGTCTCAAGAGATAAAGAAGAGAATGACAGATCAAAATGCCAGTGTCATCATCCTCGATAGTATAGTGGTGAGTATCCCTGCCTGTCACTCAGGAGACTGGGGTTTGATTCTCCCACGGGGAGATATGACGTCCTTTTTGCTGGGCAGTGGTAGCGCACACCTTTAATCCCAGCACTTGGGAGGCAGAGGCAGGCAGATTTCTGAGTTCGAGGCCAGCCTGGTCTACAGAGTGAGTTCCAGAACAGCCAGGGCTACACAGAGAAACCTTGTCTTAAAAAACAAAAACAAAAGAAGAAGATGTTAGTGCCAACCTCTATTCTCCAATAACAGGTGCACGTGCACACACACACACACACACACACACACAGAAATGCTACTATGAACATCTTTCTAATCCATTCATGGATGTCTGTCTCAAAAAAAAAATACTTAAGAGTAGAATACATTCTTCGTCTAACAACAGGTAGGTGGCCAACTCGCCAAGGCGTTCCGCACAGCAGCTGTGCCTGTTCTCAGCCCTACCGCACTGGGCAGAGATGGCTCCACTATCTCAGAAACATGTGGTAACATCAGGCCTCCCTGCATCTGTCTGGGGGTGTGAAAAGCTCCCTCCGTTACGTTTCCATGCCTGAATTCCATTCCATGGATGAGTGAGGTGGAGTCCTTTTGTTTGTTTATGAGTGTTTTTGCCCACATGTCTTTAAGCACACCGTGTGCTTGCAATGACAGCAGACGCCAGAAGAGGGTGCTAGGTCCCCTGAAGCTGGAGTTAAGATTCTGTGAGCTGCCATGTGGTTGCTGGGATTGAACTCAAGACCTCTGGAAGAGCAGTCAGTGTGCTTAAGGGATGAGCCATCTCTCCAGTCCCCAAGATTTTTATTCGTATCAGTTCTGGGGATTGATCTCAGATTCCTGAACATGGTAAGTGTTCTGTTGCAGAGCTGTGCTCCAACCATTGGTATCTTGTTTTGAGACAGTCTCTATGCAGCCCAGGATGTTCTCTTACTGAAGATTCACCCTCCTTCTGCCTCCTGAACACTGAAATTGCAGGTGTGCACCACACACCTGACCTGGGAGCACAGGTGTGCACCACACACCTGACCTGGGAGCACAGGTGTGCACCACACAGCTGACCTGGGAGCACAGGTGTGCATCGCCGCATCTGACCTGTGGAGTTTCCATTTTTGGGATATAGTACATATTCTTTCATGACCTGCCTTTCCAATGCCAGCTGTCTCTTGTTAAGTGATGTGAACAGTGCTCTGTGTTTCTAAAAGTGGTCACCCTGAACCATCCCATATACCATGAGGTAAGATATAGTATGTAATATAATGTAATTTAATGTTTAAGAAAATTGCTAATTGTTTATAATAAATATCAATAACTTTGCATTATATAATTATGTATAACATAATTATATCTTACCACCCCTGGTGGGTGGTAGGCTAGAAGAGAAACCAAAGCGTTTAAGAGCTGTTATTAAAATTAGGGTTGAGGGGGGCTGGAGAGATGGCTCAGCAGTTAAGAGCACACTGTTCTTCCAGAGGTTCTGAGTTCAATTCCCAACAACCACATGGTGGCTCACAACCATCTGCAATGGGATCCGATGCCCTCTTCTGGTGTCTGAGGATAGTTACAGTGTATTCATTAAATAAAAATAATTAAGAGTTTAAAAAAAAAATTAGGGTTGAGAAAATCTGAAGTTACAGCACCTCCTTCTTAGGTCCTTTCCTAGCATTTTTGAGATCATCATGGACGCACAGAGCTCAGCTTTTTTCCATGGTGCTAGTCAGACCGCTGAACTTGTGTACAAGTGTGTGTATGTGTGCATTTACATGTGTATGTTTGTGTGTGTGTGTCTGCATGCGTGTGTGTTTGTGTGTGTGTATGTGTGTCTGCATGAGTGTGTGTACTTGTGTGTGTATGTGTGTCTGCATGAGTGTGTGTACATGTGTGTGTATGTGTGTATGCATGAGTGTGTGTATGCACATGTGTGTGTGTCTGCATAAGTGTGTGTACATGTGTGTGTATGTGTGTCTGCATGAGTGTGTGTATGCACATGTGTGTGTCTGCATGAGTGTGTGCACATGTGTGTGTATATGTATGTCTTCATGAGTGTGTGTGTGTTCGTGTGTGTGTATGTGTGTGTGTTTGTGTGTGTATCTGCATGAGAGAGTGTGTGTGTGTGTGTGTATTCTGACATGGGGCTCACTATGTATATCTCTGGTTGTCTTGCAATTCACTGGGTAGACCAAGCTGGCCTCAAACTCACAGAGATCCCCCTGCCTCTGCCTCCTGAGTCCTGGGATTAAAGGCATATGCTATCATACTCAGCCCCCAATGTCTTTCTGACAGGACTGTTATGATCTTTTTCCATTTGTTATTCTCTGAACTTAAAAAATGCTCAAGAGTATAGGTAAAGATTTTGTTGCCAAGGCTGACAGCCTGAGTTAGACCCCTGAGGTCACATCACAGAAAGAAAAGTGACTCCCACAGGTGCCCTCTGACCTCTACACACATGGTGTGACATGTACATGTGTGTACACCTGCCCGTACCCAAATGAATGGTTAAAAAAAAAAAAAAACTTTTAAAAGTTGCCTAATGATTTGCTTCCTGCCAAACACAATAGTACATGCCAGGACTGAGGGAGCTGAGGCAGGGGGATTATTAATAGTCTTCTGGTGTGTCTGAAGACAGGGACGGTAAATCTTTTTTTAAAAGATTTATTTATTTATTTATGTACACCGCAGCTGTCTTCAGACACATACTAGAAGAGGGCATTGAATCCCACTACAGATGGTTGTGAGCCACCATGTGGTTGCTGGGAATTGAACTCAGGACCTCTGGCAGAGCAGTCAGTGCACTTAACCACTGACCCATCTCTCCAGCCCAAATAAATAAGTCTTAATTTTAAAAATAGAATGGCACAAAAGAATAGTAACACAGAATTTAAAAATAAAAATTTCCAAAATCACTTTATTACATCTAAACACTAAAGGGAAGCCCTGGCTGATTTATAACAAACGAAGATCAGAGTGAATGATTTTCCTTTTTTTTCTTTCTTTCTTTTTTTTTTTTTTCCGGTGCTGGGGATCAAACCCAAGGTTGTGACGAGCTCTCTACCATGAGCTGCATCTGCGGACCCCAAATTTAGGTGAATGATTGACAGGGGATTATGGAAGGCTTGATTTCTTTGCACGACCGTCCAAGTCTGCTCCCTCTCACCCACATCCCTTCTCTTCTGGCTGATGTAGCCCCACCTCCTCTCACGGATGAGAACTCTCTCTGGGTTAAACAGAGACTCCTGCAGGCAGCAAGGAGATCCACATTCCAGAATTCCTTAGAAAAAGGACAGGGTGAGCCCTCGGGGCGAGCGTGTCATTTCCGGCTCAATTACTGTAGATTCTCTTTTGTTTCCCACCATATGGCGTCTTCTCATGCTTGTGTTTTACGTAAAAGTTGCACTTAGAGTCTAGAACATAGTGAATAAAAAGAAGTAAGGTGAGCACAGAGGCCCAGGACTCTGATCCCAGTAGGCAGGCGGGTCTCTGAATTTAAGGCCAGTCTGAGCTACAGATGGGTTCTAGGACAGCCAAGGTATGTAGAGAAGTGCTGGAGAGAGACAGAGAGAGAGAGACAGACAGACACAGAGAGAGACAGACACAGAGAGAGAGAGAGAGAGAGAGAGACAGACAGACAGACAGACAGACAGAGGGAGAGAGGGAGGGAGGGAGGGAGGGGGGGCGGGGGGGGGGGTGGGAGAGAGGGAGGGAGGGAGAGGAAGTAATTACAAATTTATAGAGATGACTGAGCTGGCAAGGTGTCCTGTCCTACATTGCTTGATCCTGGACCCTGACTGTGGCAACAAGTGTACAAAGAAAAGACAGACACACATACAGAAATACGAGGATCAGATAAGTTCTACTCACTCTGGTGGAGTGCACCTACTATGCACAGCCCAGCATAGGAGTGAACCTACTACCCACAACCAAGAATCTCTGGGTTTTTCTTACATACAGCCTAGAAGGGGGAGCTAGTTAGTCTCAGCGGGAGGCCATCTCCACAGGGAGCAGAGTCTGGCTGTAATCACCTGGGAGGAAGAAGCTGCAGTGCTAGCTTCTGCACACACAGTTGTTCCTACATGCACGTCCTTGCACACAGTGCCAGTATTCACACTCAGACCCCAGAAAGGCTTTGGGGCCCTTCTGACCCTCACCTGGGAAAGGCTTTGCCTCCTGCCATGGGTCTGAGGCATTTAGGTTTTGACGTAGCTGTGCAAAGGTTGAACGACACACATTCGTTTGGGACTTCGTCCTTTCTTTCCCCAGTCACCCCAGGATCCCTCAGCCCTCCTAAATGAAGTGCCTGCCTTGCAAGCATGAGGGTCTGAGAGACCAGAGCCTCAGGATTCACAGAAACACTGGGCACAGTGGCATACCGCTGTTAACCCCGGCACTAGTGGGACGGAGACAGACAGCCTAGCCAAATCAGTGAGCTCCAGCTTCCGTGAGAAACCACGTCTCAAAACAAAACAAAACAAAACAAAACAAAATGGAAAACCAGGCATTGGTGGCACATGCCTCATCCCAGCACTCAGGAGACAGAAGCACGTGGATCTCTGTGAGGTTGAGGCCAGCCTGGTCTACACAGCAAATTCTAGTCCAGATAGAGCGACATAGTGACATCCTATCTCAATAGATGAATGAATGAATGAATGAATGAATGAATGAATGAATGAATGAAGATGACAAGCATGTGAAGAAGGCATTTAGTGTTGACCCTGGGCCTCCACAGCCACACCACACGTATACAGAAGCCATACATACACATTTTAAAGAGAAGATTAGTTTTAAAAGACCAAACTTGGAAGTACCTCAGGAAACAAAGAATGCAGGATGTCAGCCATAGTTCTTCCCCATGTGTGCATTGTGTGTGTGTGTGTGCACATGCCGCTGGGAAAACAAACCGGAGCTTCATGCATGTACTAGTGCTAGATAAGTCACCTCCCAAGTCCTCTAACCTGTGTGCTTTTGTGTCCTTGGCTTCTTCTGCATGGTGAGTTGCTATGGTCAGTTAAGACATGGCCATATAAAATGCTGTTATCAGTTAATATAGTCAACCACGATGGAATCCTACGGAGCTGTGTGATGCTGTGGTCATGCAACGTGGCTGAGTGGAGCTGCCCATGGCTGTACAGAAATCCGGATCTCAAGGAAGAGCAGAATTATGTCTCTTCTCTGCACTGTCAGCACAGGGCCCAGTCATTGGGATCTCATGGGTGGTAGTGAGGGACGAGGCATCCTGACGCCCAGTGGGAGGTGAGGCAGTCGCCTGCACAGTGGGTTCACAGGGAGGACCCCGAGAACGTGTAGGACACTGGCACCAGAGAGCAGCCCTGTCTGGGTGAGTCTGAGGGTAAGCTGGAGAATCTCCCATGGAAAGGTTTTGGGTTGTGAAATACAAAACTCCAAATGGTATGTGTTGCAAGAAGAGTAAAAAATTTTATCAGGGAAATATGGAACATGGAAAATCATGGAACAAAAAGACGAGTGAATGAGTCTGCGTGAACCACGTGACAGACGTCACTCTAGAATAAGAATCGCCACAGCCAGTGCTGTGAGCAGGGCATGACAGGCACTTGTTACGTCCAGTGTCACTTTTCTGTCAAAAGTGTATTGGGAAACAGCACAAGCGGAAATAACAAATGAACCAGGAAGTAAATTGGGAGGGGTTAAAATAGGCCTTAATTTGTAGGTCAGTGAGTAGAAAGGTGATTTGTAAAGCTGTCTGAGAGTCACTCATGATACAGAGGAAGGGAGGTGCAGGCTCTTGGGAGATCACTCCACTCGGGCCTACACTCAGCTGAGAGATCATCTTTGCCAGTTTCTCCCACCAACTCTCAAGACCAGGGAGGCTACAAGCCATGTGGTTTCTCCTCTGCTGCTCTCACTGAGATGGGAGAAACTGGTGTCCCCCATCTCTCCTGCCCTGCCCATGCTGGCCCATGTGAGCACTCCTGCCTTGAAATGGCACTCCTTCCCTCTCTGTCGATAAGGGACCAGGCAGAAGAGGGAAGAACACCGAGCTCCACAAATCCAACCAAGGAATTAAAAGTCGATGCACTCACATTCATCCGGGGAGTATGGGAAATTGGCTTCCACGACCCTGTTGTTGAGAGGCTGCGTACTGCGGTAACCATTTTGAATGGTCTTGTTGTTGTGATTCATAACAGAGTTTTCTATGGTCACAGCCTGCAGACGACAGAAAGTGAGTTATGAGGCAGAAAGCACTGGGGAATGTAAAAGCATTTAGTTAGTGACTGTGTAAGAAAACGTCAAGTCGGTCTGTTCTGAGCGGTCTGCCAGCCTTCACCTCACCATCCATCTGTCCGTCCATCCGTCCGTCCATCCATCTGTCCATCCATCCGTCTGCCCATCCACCTTCCCAGAAGGCATCTCCACAGTCTCCTCTCCTCTTTTTATATTAGTATTTGGTTAACGGAACAAAAGCAATCAGTAACAGAAACATATTGCAGTCAGCTCAGTGTTTGTTTTTCTAAAATATATTCTGTCTACATCTTTGAGAAGGGTTTTGTTTTGTTTTGTTTTTTCCTGCACGAGAAAGTCTGGATTCTCCATTCATTTTCTTCCCTCTAAGATTTTGAGTCCCCTGCCCTCTCTGTGTGGCTAACTCTTGATCAATAATAATAATAATAATAATAATAATAATGATAAATTTTTTTTTTTAGACAGTGTCTCACTAAATAGCCCTGGCTAGGCTAGAACTCACTATGTAGATCAGGCTAACCTTGAACTCCCCAAGTTCTGCCTGCCCCTGCTTCCCAGGTGCCACAACCAAAGCCATGCACCCCATGCCCGGCTGAACCTCTCCTGAGACTTAAGTGAGACACCTGCTAGGTCTTTCTGCTCCATCCTTCGTGTCTCTTAGGCACTCTGAACATCTCCGCCTGGTTCGCCTTTGTGCCACGGTTAGACTATCTTCCTGCCTCCGTCTTCCAATTCACTAGTTGCATCTTGAATCAAATCTAGCATGCTGTTAAACCCAGCCACTCAATCTGTAATTGCTCTTGACACAGTTTCATCCCACCGGGTGGGGGTGGGGACAATGCTTCTAATTCCAGCACTCAGGAGGCAGAGGCAGGAGGACCTCTATGCGTTCGAGGCCAGCCTGGTCTACAGAGTGAGTTCCAGGACAGCCAGGGCTACACAGAGAAATAT